CTGGGAGATCAAGGAGAGCAAGGATGGTCCCACTTCCACCATCCCGCTCCCGCCAGAGATCATCCATATGTGCGACCAATGCCGTTTCCATACCATAACTGGGCCTGAAACCTGACTGAAAAGGGTCCAGATAATCTGTTTCCTCCAGAACCCTTTGGAGCTGTGATGCCACCATTTTCTCAACCACCTTCCCCAAAAAAGGGAGGTGGGAGATTGGACGAAAACTGTCCAGTACAGTAGGATCCAGGGAGGGTTTCTTGAGGAGGGGGTGCACCAACGCCTCCTTAAAGGCAGCTGGAAACACTCCCTCCTGCAAGGATGTATTAATCATCACCAGGAGCCAACCACATTTCACCAGCCAGGAGGGGCATGGGTCAAGATGGCAAGTGGTGGCCTTCACAGTCCCCAGGATCCTTTCCACCTCCTCAGGGTCAACAGGATCAAACTGTTCCCAGATAACTGGGTAAGAATGATTCCCTGATATCTTCCCAGACATTGCCCCACGCTCGGAGTCTAACTTGGAATGAATCTGAGCAACTTTGTCCTGCAAATGCTCCGAAAATTCCTCCGCACGGCCCTGCAAATGAACCCCCACATCCCCCTTGCCAAGGAAGGACCTAGTGATCCTGAACAGGGCGCCGGGCAGCATTCTGCGGACGCAATAAGGGCGGAGAAGTATTGGTGGTTTGCTGCTCTTATTGCCACAATGTAGGCCTTGATAGCGGATCTAACCTGTGTTCTGTTGGATTCGGTCTTTGTCTTCCTCGAGCAGCACTCTAGACGTCTCTTGACCCTCTTCAGCACCCTCAACTCCTCCATAAATCATGGGGAGTGTCGAGGCCGATGTGGCAAGAGAGGTCGCATAGGGGCAATCCTGTCCAAGGCCCCGGCTGCCTCCTTATTCCAGGCAGCAGCCAAGGCCTCCGCTGGACTGTGCAGTAGATCCACAGGAATACTCCCCCAGCTCCCTCTGAAACCCTGACAGGTCTATCAGGCGCCGGGGCTATACAGACTAAGGCTACGATTGGGCTTTCAGGACAGCCTAGATTGTTTAGATTCCCCTCAACCACAACCAGGGGATTCTGAGGAAGCCAACTGCTCCTTACACGCCAGAGAGTAATGGAATTGAAGAATGAAAGAACAGATCATTGATGGACATGGTAAGGTGTATGCTGTTAGAGGCAGATCTACCTGACAAATACTGGGCAGATGCTGTTATCACAGCTACATACTTGCAAAATAACTAGAGATTCCATTCACAATGTGTTGGTCATGAGTAGAAAACAAGACATTCTTTTTTTAAAATGAATGGAACTGAGGCTGATGGATCAGGGGTGGGCTATAGGATGTTGGTAGGTTGTTGTTAAGTTGAAGAGAACAGATCATTGATGGACATGGTAAGGTGTATGCTGTTAGAGGCAGATCTACCTGACAAATACTGGGCAGATGCTGTTATCACAGCTACATACTTGCAAAATAACTAGAGATTCCATTCACAATGTGTTGGTCATGAGTAGAAAACAAGACATTCTTTTTTTAAAATGAATGGAACTGAGGCTGATGGATCAGGGTTGGGCTATATGATGTTGGTAGGTTGTTGTTAAGTTGAAGATGGTGTGTGGAGGAGTTGGATGATTTGTCAGACTTCAGTTAGAGTGGTTGTCCTTGGGGCTGTTTTGGAGTGGAGTCTGGAGCAGTAATGTCATGGATGGCCAGTGAAGGTTAGTACACTGGGAGAGATCAGCTGTGTACTTACCAGATGGTGTGGCAGCTGGTGATGGAGGGAAACTGCCATTTTGCAGCTGACCACTACAGTTCCATGGAGAACTTTTGATCATGTAATCCTTTATCAGTGCCATGGATCAGCAGTTCTTTGATCAGCTTGCTAACAGTGTTTGGTATATGGCAGCAGACACAGTGGCTTGGTGGAGGAAGCAGCTGGAGATCTGCAGAGCTTACTTCGTCCTCCATTTTGCTGTTGGCCACAGGAAGAGAGTGGGGGCTGGCTGAGGGGGCTGGCATGAGTGGACTGCGATGGCAAGAGTAACCTGGGCACAGCAACCCTTGGTGTGATGGAGGGCTTGGACTTCTGAGTGTTTCACAGCAGTGGGTGTGGGAATGGGTTAGTGTCCGTTGAGAAAACCTGTGTCCTGCAGCTGCTGCTTATCCAGGAAGTGGTTTTTTTCCTGTGGTAACCCAGGTGAGAATGGGGAGGCTGGAGATGGTCTGGCTGTGGCTGTGAATGGTATTTGAATGTGAGGTGGGAGTTGGGCTCCTCAAGCTAGGGTTCTGAGTGTTAGACAGAAGCACTTCAGGGTTGGGTTTTGCTACCTATCTCCCACTTTTTAATAGGATGTACTGGAGAGGGTGTGATGGGGCCATTTGGTTTGGTGGGCAAAACTTGGGTTGAGGGGGTTGAATGCAGTGGGGAGAGAGCATGTGGTGACATCAGGGTGGTGATAGGCATGGGGAAATATGGTGGGGATAAGGAGTGGCCTGCTCTTGGCAAAGGTGGCCTCGGTGTTTAGTACTAGGTTTGGCCCCTGTGCTCAAGCCCGAGACCTGGTCTTCAGAGCTTTGGAGGCTCTGATGTCCATATACTACTGTTTAATTAAAAGTCAGCCTATAATAGAGTTTACCTCATCCATGGTGTCATCTTGGGTGAGAGGAGCTATTTGGTATGTATTATCAGGACCTGTTTGGGTGCAGGGTGTGTGTGTGTTTCGCATCTCTGAAATGTGCCCATCAGTTATGACTCTGAGGCAGGGGTGGGGTATGGCTGTTGTTATCCAGGAATATTTGGTGGCCTTAAGGAGCACTGTTCTGGACCTATCTGGTTGTGCGACTCTGTTTGTGAAGTTGGTCACAAGGATCAGATAGGATAGCTACCAGTTTACCTGCTTCCTGGGTGTGGCAGTTTCCCTGTCTTAGCTCCTGGACTCTGTGGCCAGGTTGGTGGTCAAGTTTCCATCTGATTGTGCTGGGGGACTTCAACTTGCCTTCTCTGGGCCCAGAATCAGAGTTAGCTCAGGACTTCATGGCTATCATGGCAACCATTGAAGTGATCCAGATTATTGGGGCTGGACTCAGTTGAGGTCATG